ATAAAGAACAGGGTATATACTTACATTATTTGTAAAAATATTTAAAATAAAAAATTAATAAGTTAAAAAAAATCTGCCAGGACAGTTAAATTTTAAGAAAAAAATGACTGAAATTGCCGAGAAAAATTTACTTATAATTGAAATAATTTCTCCAAAACAACTGTCTGGCATAATATTTTTGTACGATTATAAAGTTTAGGGAATACTCATTCTAAAAATCTAGAATTTAATATTTTTTTCGATTTTTAAAGGTAAAAAAATCTGCCAGGACAGTAGCCTATTACGTTAGAAATTTTGTTGAAATCAGCTCAAAATCAAAATATAAAGTTAAATATCTTCTTCAAAATGAATGTCTGGTAAGCAAATTTTGGTTCATTGGAAAGTTTAGAATATAAGCTTTATGAAAATATATAATTATATGAACTTTTATTTTATTAACAGAAAAAAAATCTGCCAGGACAGTAGCCTACTCCGTTAAATTTCTGTTTAAATGGCGGAAATTAACAACGCAATTTCTAACTATAAATGAAATAGTTTCTGTATTGCGATTGTCTGGCATACTATTTTGTTACTGTTATAAAGTAACAGACCCAATTATCAAATAAAATAAAGAAATTGAACAATTTTCATTTTTAAAGTAAACAAAAATCTGCAAGGACAGTAACTTATTATGTCTTAATTAACTTGTGGAGAAATTTGTTTCAAATCGAAATAGAAAGTTGAATAGATTATTATCATTTTTGTTATTCGTTGCAAAGTTTGAACAATAAATTTTACGAAAAGATAAAAATATTCATTTTATAATAGATTAATAACTCAAAAATCTGCCCAACAGTCGTCCTATAGCTAAATATTTGGTTGGCACGTGCCAAAATTTACGACAAGTTATTGAATTTGTGTATTTGTGTATTCTGTTATGTCAACCGTAAACGAGCGTGTTGTAATGAATACCTATGAGAAGATATTTATTGTCACGTTTTTAAGTTATAATTATTTATTAAGAATATAGTTGAAAAAAAAACTATTCGAAACACTATTTGATTGTATATTTACAAGTTAAATTTGATTAGATCTCAATTTTACCGCAAGCATCTAAGAGTACGTGTTATAGTAGTCTCAGAATATACTAACAACATCTTCAGAAATATAACTTTCACATGATGAAAACGTCTGTTGGTCAAGATACCAGAAGTTCAGAAACAAACCAATTCCATAGATTGTGGGTTGTTCGCAATTGCAAATGTTGTAGAATTTTGTTTTACAAGTTTTTTCAGGTGGGATACATGTAGAATTTGACACTGAACTTTCAAGTTAGAGAACATCTTGTGATTTGTTTGGAAAAAGGTGAATTTATTCCATTTCCAAAGAAAAAAATTAGCATGGAAGGTAAACCGAAATATAAAACTAGTGTGGTGGAATGTAATTGTGAGTGTGGCAAATGTGATTCAGTAGAAGACATGTTAGGGTGTGAATGGCAGAAAGGAGTTAAGAAATGCAACATTTGGAAACACGTTTTGTGTACGGGATGAAAGAAGGCGACACATTCCTGTGCTCTAAACACATTACTAATTAGTGAAAATAAATACCTTTTGAAGGATTTGACACCAATCAGTGACTTTGAAGTTTTTATTACTGTCAAAACATAATTTACCTGACTTAATTTGTTAATATTTTACTTGTCTTCCGATATAAAAAACAGATTTTGCAGTTTTTAACACGTGTGGTTTTTTTTTTTGTATTGTATGATGATTTATATATATGCATGTGTATGAAATGTTTTTGATTAATATAATATAAGCCCATGCCCGTTCAATGACCTGTCTGCTGCCTTTAATAAACTGAAAAGAGATCAAATTAATCAACATAACAAAATAAGTAAACAATGTTTTAATGAACACACCAATAATTATGTTTTCTAAATATATTCACTTTAATGATTCTAACAATGATAAAGCTTAAACTGCAAACTTTCAATTGAATAAAATAAAAAAATCATTCTTTGAAAATTATCTTAAATTTGAAACAAATTTCTTCACTAGTTCCAATATGATATAGTACTGTCCTGGCAGATTTTTTTTACTTAGAGAAATGATTAAAAAATAAATTTATAGATTTTTTGAATGATTTGGTCCTAATAATATCAAAAAAGTATGCAAGACAATGGTAATAAAAATACTATTTCATTTTTAATTAAAAAATTACGTTGATTTCCGCCATTTATTCAAACATTTAACATAGTTGGCTACTGTCCTGGCAGATTTTTTTTATGTTTACAAAATAAAAGTTCATAAAATTTTATATTTTCATAAAGCTGATAATACAAACTTTCCAATGAACACACATTTTCTTGCCAGACATGCATTTGAACAAAATATTCAAATTTATCTATTGATTTTAAGCAAATTTCAACAAAATTTTCTGACGCAAAAGGCTACTGTCCTGGCAGATTTTTTTTGTGTTAATGAAATAAAAGTCCATATTTTTTTATATTTTCTTAAAGCTTATATTTCAAACTTTCCAATGAACCAAAATTTGCTTACCAGACATTCATTTTGAAGAAGATATTTAACTTTATATTTTGATTTTGAGCTGATTTCAACAAAATTTCTAACGTAATAGGCTACTGTCCTGGCAGATTTTTTTACCTTTAAAAATCGAAAAAAATATTAAATTCTAGATTTTTAGAATGAGTATTCCCTAAACTTTATAATCGTACAAAAATATTATGCCAGACAGTTGTTTTGGAGAAATTATTTCAATTATAAGTAAATTTTTCTCGGCAATTTCAGTCATTTTTTTCTTAAAATTTAACTGTCCTGGCAGATTTTTTTTAACTTATTAATTTTTTATTTTAAATATTTTTACAAATAATGTAAGTATATACCCTGTTCTTTATTATACAATTTAAATTTTAACAATATGTTGGTTAAAACAAAAGTTACAGATGAAAACGTATCGAAAATAACTGTCCTGGTTTTATCTGTCCTGTTTTTAGACCTTCCCGTGGATTTAGTCAAAATTATCGTATTTGAAGAGCTCCTGAAATATTTCATAACCTCCGAAATATTTCAGGATCTTCATAAATAATCGGTAGAAATCGCTTTATTTCAAGATCATATTTAATGTTTGTTGCCAGGGGCGGATCCAGAACCTCGATGTCTGGGGGGGCACCAAAAAACCAAAATTAAAGATTTGTTTAGATATGTATATATGCGAGTGTGGGTGGTGATGGTGTCACGTATTGGGGGTGATGGTGTCACGTATTGGGGATGATGGTGGTCGTGTGTGTGTATGTGGGGGGGGGGGGGGGGGGGTCGGGTCTTCATTTCTATATCTTTTCATTATTTTTAAGCAATTATAGGCAACAATATGAAACAATTCAATTGAGAAAACCAAAGGCCATATTCATAACAAAACAATTTACGAAAAAAAATATGACAGACATGAACCAACGACAACCACTGAACTACGGGCTCTTGACTGAGGACAAGCACATAAAGAATTAGGCGGCGTTAAACAGGTTTGTGAGCCTCAACCCTTCCCCTAACCTGGGACAGTGGTGTAACAGTATAACATAAGAACAAACTATAAAAATCAGTTAAAAAAGACTCAACTCATCAGATTGTTCATCACACATTTAATCTGTTTTCTACATTTTTTGGACCCATTTTTTTCTAGTCTTTACTTTTTGACCATTATTCTCTAATCTGTAAATCCCGTTCATACCTTCGTTCACGGTAAACCATTCATACCCTCATTCACGGTAACCTATTCATATCCTCATACATGGTAATTGAAACAAGAAAAAATATACACATATTACTGTACTATAAGTAGGTTTTCTAAAAAAACAATATCATGTTATTAATGATTATATATAAGGCACAGACCTTTCATGTTTTGTGGCGGGGAAAGGTTTTTTTAAAGACAAATCGTTGGTTTCCATAAAAAAAAGTAAGGGGAAAAGAAACACGACATTCAGTTTAAAAAAATGCTGTATGCATTGAAAAAAATCGTTTGTTGTTTAATAAAGTCCGAAAAAGACTGTTCTGAGAAAGACACATTCCCCAGAAATCGTATACAATGTGAGTGCTGTGGTAATAAAGACGTATCTCATATTGATACTAACATTCTTGACACTTAACATCTATTTTTACATGTTCTTTTAAGAACGATTTTAGTTGGTGATTTCTTTCCTGATCTGAAGATTTCACTTGTTATTCGATCTTGATCCTGTAATATTTATTAAAAACCAATAAATATATTAAAATATTAAAAATATTAATTCCAATCAGCATGTGCATGTACATGTAATTTACATAAATGCTTTTGGATATAGACATTACACAAAGGTGTCAATATTTACACACCCTTTGATAAGTTGTCATAAATCACGCATGTTGAAGCTGGGGTTAATTAACGACCAATTTCGATCTAGATAAGCAGATACAGTAACAATAAAACTATGTTAGAAAATTATTTTAGTGACCCCGACTGGGGGGGGGCACGTGCCCCCTGTGCCCCCCCGGTAAATCCGCCACTGGTTGCACTTCATTATTTTATGCAAATTTTTAAAAATTATTCCTGTATTAGTACTTCATATATATGTTTTGGCATTTAGCAAGATACATGTATATGCTAGAGTTATTAAAATGTGGTGCTGTTTTTTATTATTTATTTGCATGCTGCATGCCTTGTTTTATTTGTTATTGCATATGTTTTTATATTCGGTGAAAAGCTCATTAGAGCTTATGTTTGTATGTTTGTCAATATGCCGAACGAATCAAAATAAAGTTTTACTTACTTACTTACTTTATCTACTTATGCAGTGTAAATGTTGAGATGCAACAAATGATTGTCGATTGCGATTTTTATCGATATTTCGATTTTATGTACAGTACCTAGAGAAAGATAACCAAAAAAAAAAAAGAATAAATGCAATGTTAATTCATTTTTTTTTATGACTTATTGTACGTTGTTGTTTTGGGTAAAAACGCAAATCTTGGTCGGTTACCTCCCTTGATTGCTAGGCAAGCCAACGATGTTGCTGAAGGTGTTGACTCTGAACTGTTGGTTAGTACATGTGAAGTATCTGCAATGACAGACTTCAACAACAAACAAACGGATAACTGTAAATCTAATGAAGCAAATCAAAAAAAAAATGACCGATCGTAAAAAGGGGGAGGGAAAGATCATTTCATAATTTACATCATATCATATACATGTTTTCATAGTCTGAGACTAGTCCAAATAATAATGACGTCTTGAAAGGCTATTATATTTTTTTTGACGCCTTACGTCGATGTAAGGTGTCAAAGAAAAAAATATAATAGCCTTCCAAGACGTCATAATTATTTGGACTAAGTCTGAGACTAGTCTCGGCTATAGCGGGGGAATGACACTACAACAGAACAGATGACTATCCCTTAAGGTCCATCATAATTGTTTGACAAAAATGGCTTTGTTGGTTCTGTTGAAACTACAAAATTTAATACCTGTTGGCAGTGTTGACTGTTGGAGGGTCGTAATGACATGAATGCCTAATGGTACCTTCATGACGAATAACGGTAAAAAAATCTTACCAAATGATGTTAATGGTAATTTTTGGTGCATGACAATAAAATGTGTGTTTTCTTTATGATGAAAAAATCAACTGATTTTGACAAATCACGATAAATTCTTTCCAAAAATAATATTGGCAATGGATAGATATTTCTGATGAATACAATATGGATATTTTGACGAAAATTTTAACCAAATTGACGCTAACGGTAGCCGAAAATGTCCGTTTGACGCCTGGCGGTAAAGGGCATTCCTGCCCTCCTTTTGGAATTATCCTAATATTAAGAAGGCAATTAATCATTGTGACGTCACAATTTCCGTTGAAAAAGCATGCATAGTACCAATTTATATGACGTACGGTACAAAACATATGATTAGACCATATTTGTACACAGCATATTTCTGATTTTGGCCACCCTTGTTGGCTCAGTCAGTCAGTGGGTGACCAAATCCAAAAATCACTTCATTCACAAAATTCCAAAAGGGATTACACAAAATTTACCGGAGTACAAACCAACCTCTGCAACTGGAAAAGTTTTAATGTCTCAGGCAGCATCTTTAGCTGATTGCCATGTGCAGCATTGCAGTACGTGTTCCATCTTCTGCAAAATTAGTATTTGGTTAACAGGGGAAAAAGACTAAATTAACATTTTCCGTGTACATGTAGGGGCCTTTGACCTGCCACAACATGAAAGATTGATATAAGCACTATATATTAGTCAAATGCGTTTTGTTTAAATATACTTTTTCACTTTGTTGGTCTTTTGGAAAATGTTGTTTGTGCTGTATTTAGACCCCTCTACCAAGAAATTTGTTTTGCATGCACACGTATAAAAATTGAGGTTTTTATCCAACGCAATCATAGGTTTGAACGTTGTTTTAAATTTAGACATATATATATATGTTTGTAATGTATATGTGCATTTTCAGCTTAAATGTGAGGGTCCCAGACCTGCCAACTATCCCGATTTTGGCTGTATCATCTCAATTTTCATGCCTCAACCCGAATGCCGATATCAGGATCCTAAAACAAGTCAAAATCTGCCCGAAAATTTTTTGGTTACCAATTTTGAATTTTTTCTGATCAATTTCTAAAAATCTATAATTTTACCAGGTGACATATTCATGACAAGTTTACGACCCGAAGCTAATCAAAGGTCACAACAGGTGTCATAATTTGTTGTTACAGGTAATCTGCTTATCTGATAGGTCATGACGATCCTCAAAATTAATTAATTTGTAAATAGAATCTGTCAGTCGGCATTTTAATTTTAATCAATTTATCATACGATCACAATTTGCAACGACTTACAGGGGCCCAGGAGCAGATATTATTGAATTTTAGGTTGGACCGCAGTCCTGCCAACTTTTGAAAATCCCCATGGGGGATTTTGTGTGCGATCAAATTTTTGCGGTGTTTCTGTGTGCACTGTTTTTTACTCTTGAAATAGTATAATATCTCTTTTTTTTTTCTTTTGGTATACTGATGATGAGCTAATAAGGCTTGATTTCTTTTATTTGCATCATTCATATACTTATTAATTGGCAAAATAACTTAAGAATAGAGAAAAATGGTCTTAAAAAAAAAAAAGGTACCCCCCCCCCCCCCCTGCAAAGACCTTCTTATCTTTGTACCATCATGACCATGACTCAAAAGACCTAAACCTAAATGTCCTAAAGTTAGAAGGATGAAGACATATCTTGAGTTAGTCTATCAGTATTAATGAGAAAATGGATAAAATTGGGGTCATCTTTCTTTGTGCTCATAGGTGCTCCTATCGATATTCTACAATTCTGTTAACTCATAAATTAGACATGATGCACACAGCTCATATATGTTTATTTGAAACTGAAAGAGACCATGGCACACTTATTTTTTTTTTGTCAACATTTCATACCTGAGGCCAAACAAGAAATATGTGTGGATAGGGTTTCCTCCTTTAGAAAAAAAAACCCATGGTAGATAGGTAGGTAGGTAGGTAGAAATTTCTTTTTATTTTGCTTTTTTTTTACTTGTGGTATACATGTACATTGTATATGGGATACACCTGCAAAAATTCAGGATTCACTTTCAAACTTGCTAATAAAAATTTCATGGTAGGCATTTTGAGGCTTATATGACTAGGATACTTGTAGGGAGCTATAGGTAAACCCTAAATACAATTATTTTTGTTTTGGCTTTAGTAAAAGTTCTGTTCTGACACAATGTCTAACAGATTATTTTTTACTATTTACAACTGAAATACAACAACTTACATTTACAGCTAAAAAAAATGGTAAAAGGATGAAATTTTAGTTTTTTTCATATTGGCAGACTCTGCCTGTTTCAATGGATGTTTATTGGATATTGGAAAAACCAATATAATAAATAGGAATGTCTATAGCTATTAGTGAGAAAAGGTTGAATGAATAAATAAGTGGTTTACTTATCATGTTGGTTTTTTGGAAAGTTTGCTATAGCTTGCTATAGCAATATACTTTCCTATGGCATCAGCCTCAAACCGGATGTTGGACAGACTATCTTACTATAGGATGTGTGTTCTACTCCTAGATAATGTAGTACTAGTGTTTGAATACTAATTATAGGAAAATACTTTTGAAATTTTGAGTTACTACTTTTTTGATAAGCTTACAGCAGCTTGAATGAAAATGGACTGAATGTTCACCAACAATTCAAATGAATTCAACTTCATTTTGAAAATGGGTATCACAAACACTACTTCGCAGATCTGCCCTGCGCGGAAGATAAAATCAATACTACACGAGACAGCAGTTTCTACGTTTAATCATAGAAAATTTAGAGGGTCCGATATTTATTTCGAGGTGATTGTTGGTTTTTTTTACATTTATTTATGAAACAAAAGAATTCGTATTGTTAAGAATATCACAATCTTTTCAATATTTACATTTGTAAATGGTATTAGGTTTGACCTCTATAAATTATGCATACTTTGAACTGTCAGCCATTTTGTATGTTTACGTTACCTGTATGCTCTCCTACGGGATTCCCCAGACAATGCGGGAGATCCATACATGTATGTGAACCTCCTGACGGTAGTACAATAATCTCGGTTTCAGGGGTCTCCTCTCATCCTCCGGTTGAAGAGAGAGAAAAAACAACGTATAAAATATATCATGAAAGAACATTTTCCGGCGCCATTTATTACTGCGATTTTACAAATTTTATCATTAAATACATAAAAGCCGGAGTGTATCAAGAGTATCCGGTATAACTGACATTGATTTAATGGTTACTCAACATGTTTATATATTGACCAGGCCGGTGGCTAATTAACATTATAAACAAGTTATAATTGTTTGATTGAACAATAAACAAGTGACAGTATATTAAATACTCGATAATCATATTGCTTCTGTCTAAGTCACACGCCAAGGATGAGTAAAAGTAAATACCAGCTTTGATAGAAAAGTGCTTTGTTTTTGTTAAAAAATCGATCAGAAGGTTTTGATGCCAAATAAACATTAAAAAACTTTCAATTCAGCAAAGAAATACTAGCTATTTCACATTCTAATGCGGTTATAAGGACCTACAGCCAAACTGACAGCAGAAAAACATTGACTCAACGACAGTTCACAGCCTTCTAAGTGTTATGATTAACATTTACACAAATTGTTACATGGATAAGGATTACTTTAGTACAGTCTGGTGTATTAAAAGCAGCCAAGTCAGCTTCTACTTCTTAGAATAACCCTGTGTGCCAAGACAAGTGCTGTAGAAATGATTAAATAACATTTGTGAACTCTGAAACTAAATCATTTAGAGCAAATCTGACATGGGGTAAAATTGTGTCCGAGGACCCCGCCTACCAATCAACATGGCCGACATGACTAAAAATAGAACATAGGGGTAAAAAGCAGATTTTGGCTTATATCTGAATTTTGTCCAAGTTATAGACAGTGCTTTACCTAATATATTTTAAAGTGTTTAAAACAATAAGTCTTAAGTTATCTAGCAAAATGACTTTCTTTCAATGCTTAAAAACCAATGCCTAACTTTGGTTATTGTTTGTTTGTTTATTTATCACATTATAAATATGTATAGCAATTTTTTTTTATATATCTCTGCCTAAGACATTGCATACTAATAAAACAGATGGAAGCATGAATAAAACACTATACTTTTCTTTTAGTACCCAAAGAAAAGGTTAAATCATACAATCTGAAATGATTATGACAGTTGACTTTATCCAATTTTTGCCCGTTTCATAAAGTTTGTGCTTTAATTTTTGGGTTATCAAACTCATTTTGGACCCATCATATCCCAAAGTCAGATCACTTTGACCTTGACTTTGTCCTTTGATACCTACGTACATGTATGATAGTAAAACCTTGTACATTTCCTGTTTGGGTCATATCTTTTGAACCATTAAATTTTGGTTAAGCTTACCTAGCCAGTAACTGCATGATATGCAGTTTAACTGTTGCATTTTGGGCTTGGGGTGCATCATATACATGTACCAAAGTCAGATCAATCTGACCTTTCAGTTTCTCATCTGACCCCTATGATAGTTAAACAGTGTCTGGTTTGTGTTTGGTGCATACGTTTTGAACTGTAGCACGTTAATTGACAAAAACTTTGTACGCAGAAGCATCCTACTGACCTTGACAGCCAATTTCAGAATTTACTATGATTCTTTAAGATTGAATTATAATAAACAATATATGTCAACTCAACATTGTTGACTAAAGCCTTTCATATAAATTCACTTTCATTACAGTTGTATTGATTTAATTTTGCTGCCTTATTTAAATTAGGGATGTGGTATGTTTTGGGAATGAACCAGCTATTTAAAAGAGTTTATAGTAGGAAGATAATAAATAATCATAGGCCACCATATGGTGGTCAACAATGAAAAAAACTTGTATCATATAGTAAGCTATTAAAGGCCCTGATATGAAAAATATGGAACAAAAAAAAATAACAGATCAATAAGTAACAATACAATTTACTAAAAACAAATATGAAGGACCTGAGTCAATAAAAAAATACTAAAATCACAGGCCCTTGACATGGGATGGACACATAAATAAAAATTTACAGAGCTTACTGTATATTTGATTATTTTAAATCTAGTCATTTTAAGGTTGCAATAGAAAATATCAAAATTTTACATGACAAACATATAAACAAAAGTGATTTTTGATAATTGCTGATGATCAAGACAATGGTTTAGTAAAAAACATCAAATCTGTGATTAAATACACATTTGAAATAATACACATCTACAACCTTTTTGAAATGATACATATCTACTGTTGCAAACCTTCCACAGGTGCTATGTAAAGCACTTAGATTTACTCTATCTATTATAGTTCTCAACATATTAATTAATTGAAACAAGTCAACTTTAAATTTCGAAAAAGATATGTTGTAAAATATGTCAGTTTAATGTTTTAGGGGAGTCCCTGTAGCAGTTGCTTGTAAGCTGAGAAATGAAAGAATGATAGCCATTGGTGATGAGTTGTCTAAAGGAGAATATGACATCATTTTATTCCAGGAGGTAAAACTTTCTAAACAATTTTACACTTTTTTTTATGCCAGTATGTGCTTTGTGTGCTAGTGTGTAAGTATACCACATTAGATTTCTCTTAGGGTCAAAGGAACAATTTTCCTTTATAAATTCATTAATGATGATGATGGATGGCTGCTTAACGTCCAGCAGTAAATTAATATGCATATTCAGGACAAGATACAAGATGCATGATAGGAGGTGTACAATACCTTTAATATGTTTAAGTACTGAAGATTTGATTTAAAGTTTCTCTGAAGTCTGCTTCAAAAGAAATCATAACATACGTGATGAAAAATTGAACTTTCATTCTATATACATGATGTAGCAGATATACGAATATAATCTATTGAATAATGTTGGAAATTTTTACAATTTCAGATTTGGGACAAAGCAGATTATGAATTGTTGAAAAAGAAGATGTCTCCATCACTCAAATATTCTCATTATTTCTACAGGTTTGTTAAAAAGATATTTAGTATTTCCAAAAGCATCATCTTTTCTCCTTACACATGTCAAATTAATTTTGACCTGGCAAACTGCACAGAAATTTAAACAGGCCACACAAAGTCGCAGAAAAAAATCAGATCAGTAAGGAAAGGTTTATATGATAAACTTTTTGAAAGATTAAGACATCAAACAGCTGCTATTTTCGGGTACACAAAATTGGAAATTGATAAGTCTTGTCAGTAAGAATTCTGCAAGCCAGAGACATTAAAAGATGAAGTAAGAAATTTCCTTTCACATCAATTAGGGTCTAGGTGTGTTTGAGAGAATAGAGAATAATGAAAAAAAAAAGAAAAGAGAAAAATGAGCAATCGAATTTTGAAGAAAAGAGAATAATTGGGTGCAAAAGTATAAAGAATAACTGTGGAAAATAAAAGAATTCGGTAATATGATACTGATTACAGAAATGAAAGATAAAATACCGCTGGATTGACAACAACACTTTAGTGAACTGCAAGTTTTATTGTGTCGACTAGTTTCGCCAATCTATATCGGCGTCTTCAGGACAAATTATATAGAAATTGCAATCCCTGAAGTATAAAAAAATGGTATCTAAATTTTAACGTCATAATGTGTTTACTCCATTGTCTTTGTTGTTCCTGGTTACCAATGTATGAATGATCAAAAAATTACAAATGTATGTACATAAAGGTAGTAAATTAAAAAATATGTGTAACATGAATGTAAGTACAATATCAGTGTACAGTTTGTATAAATGAAAGATGTACAAAAAAAAGAAATCATATAATTAAAGAAAAAATTGAAATTTGTAATAGTGAACTCATCTTCATGAGAATTTTACAGAACAACTGCAATAAGCAATATTTTTAAAGATAAAAAAAATACCAGTAATTCAGGAGTCGGGACCCCCATTCAGACCCTCATCAATTATAATAAAATATAGGATGAGAACAGGGTTCTCATTAATGATTTTTCAAGGCGAGTCCAGAGACTCATCATTTTTGGCCATGGTGAGTCCAACAGTAAGAAGAAGATATTTTATTACAATATAATTTATCATTTTAGTCTCTATGACCTAATAGAGCAATGAAATGACATTAAATTCAGATTAGTTTTAAACCTTTGCTTTAAAATGAAGATATGTATTCAGTTTATACAACATATTTCAATCTTGATGCATCTTTGGACTCTCCAGATTTGAAAATGGTGTGTCCAGACAGATTTTCATGAGTCCTGGACTCATGGACTCATCTTAGTGAGAACCCTGTGAGAATCTAGGAATATTTACAATCTTATGACCTTATGCTATTAAAACGTAAAAACTTTTATTTATTCTTTTCAGTGGTGCAATAGGAAGTGGTTTATGTCTATTTTCCAAGCTCCCTATCCTGGAATCATTTTATCATAATTTTTCATTGAATGGTTATGCTCATAAGATTCATCATGGTGATTGGTTTGGTGGGAAAGGCCTTGGTATGTGCAGACTGAAGTATAATGACATCAGAATTAATCTGTATTGTACACACGTAAGTTAATTTTGTGTTACTACTTTTAATAGCCATATTCCGTATATCTGGAAATTTACACGTGTGTCTAGGTTTTGCCTTGTTCGCAGTATACACTTTGCTGCAAAATTAACCCTATGTGAACATTTCACTGCTCCTTAAAATGCATTGTACAGGAATGTGAAACACTTCCACTTCTCGAACTCAAATCGCAAACAAAACAGGATGTGAAAATAATCAGATGAACAATATGATCTGAGTGGAAGAAAACCTTGAACAATTTTTTTAGGAGTAATTAACTATCCACCACTTTGTGAGAACAGCATCAGTGCCATATTTGAAATTTGATAAATTTTCAACAGTATAAAACATATTTTAACACAAGGCATTGTATAAAACAGAAATAGTTTATGAATATTGGTTATATGGAGCTGTATTTGGTACTGAAGTGTTATATGGAGTTGTATTTGGTACTGAAGTGTTATATGGAGTTGTATTTGGTACTGAAGTGTTATATGGAGTTTTATTTGATACCGAAGTGTTATATGGAGTTGTATTTGGTACTGAAATTATGTCTTCACTTTTGATATTTCAGCTGCATGCAGAATATGATTTCCAGGATGATGAGTATGCTGCCCACAGAGTGTCGCAGGCATTTGACATGAGTCAATTCATCAAGTTAACATCTACCCAAGATAACTGTGATCTAGTCATAGTAGGTGGAGACTTCAATGTCAAACCAGAATCTCTGGGATGTCAGATTATACAAAGTAACGGACAGCTCTTGGACAGCTGGATAACTAAGGTACTTTTGATTCATTTATTTTTTTCGTTGGTATAACATTTTTGGTTGGAGCAAAGCTTACTAATTCATGGTTCTGTCATTTGCAACTACAGTCAAACCTGCCTTAACGGTCACCTCGTTTCAGTGGTCACCTGCTTCTATTGGTCACTTTCAGACCCTACCAAATGTTTTTATACGACCGCAAAAAATTTTTGCTGTCGTATATTAGTATGACGTCGGCGTCGTCGTCCGAAGACACATTGGTTTTCGCACTCTAACTTTAGTTTAAGTGAATGGATCTCTTTGAAATTTTACCATAAGGTTCAATACCACAAAAGGAAGGTGGGGATTGATTTTGGGGGTTATGGTTCCAACAGTTAAGGAATTAGGGGCCACAAAGGGGCCAAAAATAAGCATTTTCTAGTTTCCAGACAATAACTGTGGAACGGTGTATGGATCTCTCTGAAATTATACTACAAGTTTCCATACCACAAAGGGATGGTTAGGATTTGCTTTGGGGGGTTATGGCTCAAACCGTTTAGGAATTAGGGGCAAAAAAGGGGGAAAAACAAGGTTGTCCTGGTTAATGGACAAATACTTTTGTACAAAACATAATTTAAAGCAGTGTAAGGGAGATAAATCAAATACATCATTGAAATTATCTCCCTTACACTGCTTTTAAATTATGAATAAAGTAATGGTTAATGAACAATTAAGATAATTTAAAACCGTGTAAGGGAGGTAATCCAGATACAACGTTTTGGTTACTTCCCTTACACTGCTTTTAAATTATGTTTAAAGAAATGCATATTTATAAAGGAAGACCAGTAAAAATATCTGCAAATGTTGCATCTTTTTTTTTTACAAAAAAATCCATATGAAAGATTTGACACTATATTTTAAATTCTATTATAAAATAGATTAAGTTAGCACTATGGTAAATTTAAATGGGTAATTATGGTTGCAAACTCCATTGGAAATTTGATTGAGATAATGACCATATCTTGAGGGAAAGAATTTTTTTGGGGAAAAAGGGGGGGGGGGGGGGGGTAAAAAGAAAATGTGGGGGGTCAATTTTTTCTCATTTCAGATTTCAGAAATTAAAAAGAATTATTCTTCAAATATTATTTTTTTTTCAAATTTCAAATATTGAAAAATTTCAATAAGTAATCTTTAATTGCACAGTATGGCGCATTAGATTTTAAAAATCTTTGACCACATTTATTTATTTGTTATGCCGAATCTAACCGTGTATTTAGATTTTTAATTTTGGGTCCAGTTTTCAAATTGGTCTACATTAAGGTCCAAAGGGTCCAAAATTAAACTTTGTTTGATTTTAACAAAAATTGAATTTATGGGGTTCTTTGATATGCTGAATCTAAACATGTATTTAGATTTTTGATTTTTGGCCCAGTTTTCAAGTTGGTTCAAATTGGGGTCCAAAATTAAACTTTGTTTGATTTCAACAAAAATTGAATATATGGGGTTCTTTGATATGCTGAATCTAACCATGTATTTAGATTTTTTATTTGTGGACCCCGCTATCAAATTGGTTCATATTGAGGTCAAAAGGGTCCAAAATTAAACTTCGTTTGATTTCATCAAAAATTGAATTATTGGGGTTCTTTGATATGCCAAATCTAACCGTGTATTTAGATTTTTAATTTTGGGTCCTGTTTTTTAAATTGGTCTACATTAAGGTCCAAAGGGTCCAAAATTAAACTTAGTTTGATTTTAACAAAAATTGAATTCTTGGGGTTCTTTGATATGCTGAATCTAAACATGTATTTAGATTTTAGATTTTTGGCCCAGTTTTCAAGTTATTCCAAATTGGGGTCCAAAATTAAACTTTGTTTGATTTCAACAAAAATTGAATATATGGGGTTCTTTGATATGCTGAATCTAACCATGTATTTAGATTTTTTATTTGTGGGCCCGCTATCAAATTGATTCATATTGAGGTCAAAAGGGTCCAAAATTAAACTTTGTTTGATTTCATCAAAAATTGAATTATTGGGGTTTTTTGATATGACAAATCTAACCCTGTATTTAGATTTTTAATTTTGGGTCCAGTTTTTTAAATTGATCTACATTAAGGTCCAAAGGGTCCAAAATTAAACTTAGTTTGATTTTAACAAAAATTGAATTCTTGGGGTTCTTTGATATGCTGAATCTAAACATGTGTTTAGATTTTTGATTATGGGCCCAGTTTTTATGTTGGTCCAAGTTGGGGTCCAAAATTAAACTTTGTTTGATTTCAACAAAAATTGAATATATGGGGTTCTTTGATATGCTGAATCTAACCATGTATTTAGATATTTTATTTGTGGGCCCCGCTATCAAATTGGTTCATATTGAGGTCAAAAGGGTCCAAAATTAAACTTTGTTTGATTTCATCAAAAATTGAATTATTGGAGTTCTTTGATATTCCAAATCTAACCGTGTATTTAGATTTTTAATTTTGGGTCCCGTTTTTTAAATTGGTCTACATTAAGGTCCAAAGGGTCCAAAATTAAACTTAGTTTGATTTTAACAAAAATTGAATTCTTGGGGTTCTTTGATATGCTGAATCTAAACATGTGTTTAGATTTTTGATTATGGGCCCAGTTTTCAAGTTTGTCCAAGTTGGGGTCCAAAATTAAACTTTGTTTGATTTCAACAAAAATTGAATATATGGGGTTCTTTGATATGCTGAATCTAACCATGTATTTAGATTTTTTATTTGTGGGCCCCGCTATCAAATTGGTTCATATTGAGGTCAAAAGGGTCCAAAATTAAACTTTGTTTGATTTCATCAAAAATTGAATTATTGGAGTTCTTTGATATTCCAAATCTAACTGTGTATTTAGATTTTTAATTTTGGGTCCCGTTTTTATACGACCGCAAAAAAAAATTTGTGGTCGTATATTGGTATGACGTTGGCGTCGTCGTCGTTGTCGTCGTCGTCCTGCGTCGTTTGAAGACACATTGGTTTTCGCACTCTAACTTTAGTTTAAGTGAATGGATCTCTATGAAATTTTACCACAAGGTTCAATACCACAAAAGGAAGGTTGGGATTGATTTTGGGGGTTATGGTACCAACAGTAAAGGAATTAGGGGCCAAAAAGTGGCCAAAAATAAGCATTTTTGTAACTTCCAGACATAACTTGTGTGTTAGTGTATGGATATCTCTGACATTGTACCACAAGGTTCCATATCACAAAAGGAAGGCTGGGATTGATTTTGGGGGTAATTGCCTCAAAATTTTAGGAATTAGGGGCCGAAAAAGGGGCAAAAAACAAGCATTTTTCTAGTTTCATGACAATAACTTGTGTGTAAGTGTATGGATCTTTCTGAAATTGTACTACAAGGTTACATATCACAAAGGGAAAGCTGGAATTGAGTTTGGGGGTAATTGCCGAAACGTTTAGGAATTGGTGGCCAAAAAAGGGGCAAAAAAACACATTTTTCTAGTTTCCAGACAATAACTTGTGTTCAAGTGTATGGATCTCTCTGAAATTGTACTGCAAGGTACCATACCACAAAAGGAAGGCTGGGATTGATGATGGGGGTAATTGCCTCAATATTTTAGGAATTAGGGGCCAAAAAGGGGCAAATAACAAGCATTTTTCTAGTTTCAGGACAATAACTTGTGTGTAAGTGTATGGATCTTTCTGAAATTGTACTACAAGGTTCCATATCACAAAGGGAAAGCTGGAATTGAGTTTGGGGGTAATTGCCGAAACGTTTAGGAATTGGGGGCCAAAAAAGGGGCCAAAAAACACATTTTTCTAGTTTCCAGACAATAACTTGTGTTCAAGTGTATGGATCTCTCTGAAATTGTACTGCAAGGTACCGTACCACAAAGGGAAGGCCGGGATTGAGTTTGGGGGTGATGAATCATAAGGGGGTTCAAAAAATTTGGGGGGGGGGGGGTTTTATTTTTTTCCTTTTTTTTCTTTTTTTCCTTTTTTTTTTCTTTTAAAATTTTTCATTTTAAGTTGGTTATTTCTGATTTATATTTAAAAGCAAATAATAATGATATGGTAGGAGATACACACCAAACAGGATGTGTAAATTATTATATAATAAGTATTGTGCAATAGCAAGAAATTTTCAATTGCACAGTATTGCACAATAGCAAGAAATCTTCAATTGCACAGTATTGCGCAATAGCAAGAAATCTTCAATTGCACAGTATTGCGCAATAGCAAGAAATATCCAATAGCACAATATTGCGCAATAGCAAGAAATTGTCAATTGTACAGTATTGCGCAATAGCAAGAAATATTTAATTGCACAGTATTGTGCAAAAGAAGATACTTCGTATAAATTGTTTATTTCTTGACCAATTTCAATGGGGTTTTATTCTTGAGTTCTTGGGGTTCTTTAATATGCTGAATCTAACCGTGTATTTAGTTTTAAGATTTTGGGCCCTGTTTTTAAATTGGTCAACATTGAGGTCCAAAGGGTCCAAAATTAAATTTGTTTGATTTCATCAAAAATTGAATTATTGGGGTTCTTTGATATGCCGAATCTAACCGTGTATTTAGATTCTTAATTTTTGGTTCCGTTTTCAAATTGGTCTACATTAAGGTCCAAAGGGTCAAAAATTAAACTTTGTTTGATTTTAACAAAAATTGAATTTATGGGGTTCTTTGATATGCTGAATCTAAACATGTATTTAGATTTTTGATTTTTGGCCCAGTTTTCAAGTTGGTTCAAATTGGGGTCCAAAATTAAACTTTGTTTGATTTCAACAAAAATTGAATATATGGGGTTCTTTGATATGCTGAATCTAACCATGTATTTAGATTTTTTATTTGTGGACCCCGCTATCAAATTGGTTCATATTGAGGTCAAAAGGGTCCAAAATTAAACTTCGTTTGATTTCATCAAAAATTGAATTATTGGGGTTCTTTGATATGCCAAATCTAACTGTGTATTTAGATTTTTAATTTTGGGTCCTGTTTTTTAAATTGGTCTACATTAAGGTCCAAAGGGTCCAAAATTAAACTTAGTTTGATTTTAACAAAAATTGA